AAGTAAAATCCCATTTGCAAGAACGACATTTACAGTAAGAAACCAAGTTAATGTATTCAATACTTTCTTCTGCCTCCTAGAGGAGTTGGAGCTATAAACAAACTATTATTATTTCAAAAGCACCCGAATTCTCCTGGGCATATTCTACTCAGGTACTTCCTTATGTCCCCTCTGATTATTCTAGGAGATTGATTTTTATTGTTGATAAAATGACAGCTTTCTGGGCATGTGACTGGCCAACACTGAAAGTGATCATTTTGGATTCTGTTTTTTCTTTTTTTAAAAAAAAAAGATTTATTCATTTATTTATACAAGCAGCCGGGAACAGAACAGGCAGATGGACCGACAAAACACACAGCTGAGGGGAGCAGCAGGCGCAGCAGGAGAGGTCTGCGTACCATGTGGGCCTGCGCTGCAGAGGCTGCGGGCAGCTTTGCAGCCCAGTGTTCAACTGCTGCGCCACAAGAGGAGGCCCGATCTGTTTTTTCTTAAGTGCTACAATGTCACTCAGATGGTAATGGTGGTTCTGACCCAAAAATCTACAGGGCCAGATTCAGAAGGGTATAGCTGTTGTGCATTTCTTTGGGTTTCCTATACAGGAAGGGCAGATCCTGGAGCAATCCTGTCCAGCATGATAAATACAAAGCACTTCATCCGCTCAGTTTACTGTCCCAGATCTACACGCCCTGTTCTCTCCCTGGCAGGAAGTCAGTTCTCTGTGCCTGCAAATAGCATAAACAATCCTTCCCTACAGAACCAGGGACATTTTGTTTTGCTTTCTCACCTGATTTCAAGGGAGTGCCCTGCACATGATACAATTTAAACTTCAAACCTCCATATAAATCTTTGGGGGGCACTCTGCCTTCCAGGGAGGCAATAAAACCTAGCAGTCCTTTCAATAATTACTTATAACAGAGGTGGCTCAAATTGAATCCTAAAATCTCCATTTTCAGCCTGCTACATAACTTTGGCAGCTTGCTGAGCCCTTCACCACAGGTAAGATTTTGAGAACAGCCTATGACATCTTCACATCTGTCTTATTCTCAAGTCCTTATTTGTTGTTGGAAGTACTCTATCGATGTTAATGAGCATAGGTAAAACTGGTACCACACAAATGCTCTCATTATACAGAGGTAAGCCAAAGGAAATTATATGGTAATGCTCCAAGACAACTTGTAGATCTGATAAAGCTAGAGCAGGAATCAGTGTTGCTGCTTCTAAACCTCATGTTTTGGTTGCAGTTGGGGACAGAGTTGTCATAACAACTAGGTTTAAGAAATACCAGCTATCTTGAAGCTACCAGCTAAACTCCAGTTCATCTTCTATACTGCCACAGTGATCTTCCTAAACTGAAATCTGATCATGTTACTTTCCTTTGCCTCAAAGCAACTCAATGCCAGAGAATAAAGTCCAAATTCCTAGCCTGGCATATAAGGTCCTGCTTTTACAGTGCTCTCCAGACCCAAAGCATCAGATTACTGAGGTCTGTGTTCCTACGAAAGTACTTTTCTGGGGCCTCCCTGGTGGCACAAGAAGTTAAGACACAGCACTATGAAGCTATCCACAGCCACTGCAGCACGAGTTCAATCCCCAGCCAGGGAGGTGACCCACATGGCTCAGCAGACCTCTCCTGTCTAGCCCAGTGTATTTCAGTAGATCCGCCAGTTCTGCTCCCCACTCAGTCTATGGTGAACCTTCTCAACCCCCATACCTCTAGCCTGTGCCCCAGTTCTTGTATGCATAAATAAATAAAAATCTAAAAAAAAAAAACTTTCCTCTCCTCTATCACTTCATTCTATGAACTGCTGCACCTCTGCTTCGGAACCCCCATCTGCCCGGGAACTTCCTTCATATCACTCAAGCTTCAGTGCTCTGTCACATCCTCTATGAGGCCTATTTTGCCTCTAAGCTGCCCTCTTAGCAAAATGTGGATCATAATTTCTACACCCTCCCTTAATTCAAGGATCATGTGAAAAAATGATTCTGAGGTTTCTGAAAAATGAACACACTATACAAACTCCAAGTTATATTATTATTTATTATACAATAAAAGAAATTTTTCTTTAGAAAACTAATTTTAATACTTGTGATGATTACTATGAAATTAACCTCTATAAATTATTGCATTTTCCCTGTTTATTCATAGCTTATAAATGAGCTAAAGCTTAAAATGGTCATGAGAACTACACCCATTTCAGCAACAGAGATTAAAATTGGACCCACACAGAGATAAGCTTACCTTTGGCCCCCATAATATTCAGTAGCGAAAAATTACATTTTCTTTGCTTTCTAGAATCCTCTTCCCAACTTTCATATTTTGTTCCTTTTATCAATGAAATAATCTTCCTTAGAGATTGATTCCTACCCACTAATTCTAGAACACATAATACTAACAAGTAACATTTACTAAATGCTTATTTTGTATCAAGCACTCCTCTCTGAAGATTGTAAAATTTAAACCTCATTACAACTCTAATTTCCTCTCAACAAAATGGGAAAGAGTGCACGAAAATTTGGGAAGATTAAACTCCTTGCTGAAGGTCACAAAGTAGAGGCAGGGCTTAAAGCAGGATTCTGGGGCCTCCCTGGTGGCCCAAGGTGTTAAGTCTCAGCACTATGAAGCTATCCACAGCCACTGCAGTGAGTTAGATCCCCAAGCAGGTAGCTAGCCCACATGGCACAACAGACCTCTCCTGACTTGCCCACTGCTCCCCTCAGCTGTGTATTTCAGTAGATCTGCCTGTTCTGCTCCCCACTCTGTTTCTGGTGAATCCTCTTCCCACCACACCCCCATACACACACCCCGCACCTCTGGCCTACACCCCATCCCTTGTATGCATAAATAAATAACATCTTAAAAAAAAATTATAAAATAGGGCCTCCCCTGGTGGCACAGCAGTTGAGCACTGGGTTGTGAGGCTGCCCACAGCCTCTGCAGCGCCAGTTCGATCCCCAGCCACCGGTGAGGGTCCCACAAAAAACAAAAAACAAAACAAAAAAAAATTATAAAATAAAGTAGGATTCTGAATATAGCCCACTGTTAATCACTAAATTGCACCATGCTTCTAAGGGGCTTCGGAGCACCAAAGCGGCTCCCTTGCTCTCCAGAAACTTAGTGCAAGGGGTGGAGGGGTGTAAGACTTTGAACCTGCATCAATCTATGAGGTAGCAGGTCAGTCAAAAATCTGGACACCAAGTCCTAAGGAAGGCAAGGTGAGGCAAGTACTAACACCTAGGCAGCAGCCACAGAGCAGAGGGGTACTGGGAGCAAGGCCATGAGCTACCTACAGTACTGAATTGTTCTTATGCATTTTGTTCAGTGTTTAACAGAATGAAAAACTGTTTTGTCTTCTATGTTTCCTTCCACATCTGAACACCCTTTCAAAAAAGATATTAGGGGCCTCCCCGGTGGTGCAGCGGTTGAGCGCTGGGTTGTGAACCTGCCCGCAGCCTCTGCGGCGCCAGTTCGATCCCCAGCTGCTCCCTGGCAACCGGAGGAGGGTCCCACATGGCGCGCGGACCTCTCCTGCCGCCCACTGCTCCCCTCAGCAGTGTACTTCGGTCCTTCTGCCTGCTCTGCTTCCCACTCTGGCTCTGGTGAATTCTCTCACCCTCCCGCGCTTCTGACTGTACCCAGTGCATGTATAAACAAACAAACAAACAAACAAATAAATAAATAAAAAAAACATGCCTCTATAAAAAAAAAAGATATTAAATTAAAAATGGTGTCTTCGATTGGATCTTAAAGCAGTAAAAAGACATTAGCGAACAACTGGTGAAGTATAGAAAAGTCTGTAGTTTTGCTAATAGTAATATACCAATGTCAACTTCTTTGACAACTGTTTTCTTGGTTACTGAAGATGTTAGCATCCAGGGAAACTGAGTGAAGTATACACAAGAGATCTTTGTATTCTGCAACTTTTTGTAAATCTAAAATTATTTTAAAAATTAAAAGTCAATTTGAAAAGACCTCAGTTTTATTATTTTGAGATTAATTTATTTGGCCCATTGAATAAATCTACCGTACAATTTAAATACATTAAGGGTGATTTTTAAATTTCTCTAAAATGATTGTTGAACTCTTCAGTGAAAAGAAATGTGTTTGGGTTATAGGCAAAACCCTGGTTTTGAACTCATCAGTATCAAACATTACCTTTTCAGAAAAAAAAGACAAATACTAGTTAAGAATGACTTAGAAAGTCTCATATTCCCAATAAAATGATCGGAACTTTGCATTATCTTTGAGAAACACAAAAGAATTTTATAATGATATGATTTCCCTAAACACAGCTTCCTCTGACCTTTTCTACATCCTTAAGTCCATAGCATTGTAACCTGGCACGTGTTTTATAAAGAGCGAAGAGAAAGCAAAAGTGACAAATTATGTAGGTAACCTAGGCATAATTAGGCTTAATAAAGTTCAGTAACAGTAGCACAAACAGGGCCAACAATACAAATATGATTTTCCATAACAGCCCTGGTAAAGAAAAGGACACGTTCTACCCAGAGTTCCTGGCTCTTCCCTTGGATTTGAAGACAAATCATAAAATGACCAGTCAATTTCACAATACAATTTCACAATCTATAGTCAATGTGATGCAGTCCTCTGAACATTCTTCCCAGATTTTGAATAGTTGTGCCTTTATTGAGATGCTAATGTTTACATCATATTGGTTTTTGAGGATTAAAAAAAAAATCACAACTATTTGGCTGCTTAATTAGACCTCATTTGCTCTGCCAGTCACTGCCAGCTCCTCCTTAGGGAGACAGGAGCTCCCCTGAGCTCAGCTGACTGGCAGAAAAAGTGCTAGGCTAAGTTGCGACTGAAGTAGGTCACTCCTACTTTGTTTTGTTCTGTCAGATCCTATGAATGAGTTCTCACAAGTGATAGTATTCTTCTGGTCACCCTAAATTGAAAACTAGTGGCAGATGGCCAAGGAAGAGAACGTCTTAAAGTTCAAGGTGCATAGAGGTTTCCTGAATAGAAGCAATAAGCATACCTTCCAGTGGTGAGCTTGAAACGAAGCAAGAGAGAAAATGAGGAGAGGCAACCCAAAGTCAAGCTTCTCAGAAGATGAGAAAAGACCTGGCCAATTCCAAGAGACCTTCAAGCAATGAAAAAAAATGAATAAATATGAAAATTGGTTTAAACTGACATATTCTGGATTTTTAAAGTAAAGTTACAAAGTAAACACTATTTCGATCTGCCTATGTATATTTCACTTGGCAAAATATCATTAAGAATCTAATTTGAGTCTCTGTTAAAAATAGAGCCCAAGTCAAGTAGCAGGACTGTCCACCACCCACCCCCAGGTGTCCACCCTGAAGGCCTCAAGAGTGGGAGTAAACGTTTAGAAAAACGAGCTAAAAAGAATACAAAGTTAGAGCAGCAAAGCAGTCAGTGAGTTATTCATTACCTTGCGGCTCCAATAACTGGGTACCAGGAGACAAGATGTTAGAAACAGAGAAGAGAAGGGGAAATCAAGAAAGCAGGACGACCTGGAGTACCGCTCCTGTGCTCTCAGATGCACTAGGCACCCAGGCTTGGTAGCTGACTTAGCCCTGAGGAGCACGCCTGAGCCGCCTTCTTTAGTGCTCTGTGTTCATCCAATGGGTGCCCAGGGAGGATGAGGCACCCTCCAATGATAATATTGACAGTAAACTTAATTTCCGTAATAATGTTCAGTGAATCACATTTCAGAGTTACCCTACAGCGTGGACGCCTAAAGCCGGCAGCTCTGTGGTAACTTTTTACCACTTGAATACAAAGGTCCCTAACATTTGCCTTGAAAGGCGGCTTCATTCGTGTCAGTATTTTACAAATACATCTAAAAGTTGGGAAGTGTGAAGGGGAGCTGGTGGAACGGCTGCTCTCCAGAAAGGCGGGAGCCGGCGCACACCAAGCGACAGCCTCGCGACCGGCCGCGACCCCAGCTGCGCAAGCGCGGAAAGGTGCGTGCGTTCCGAGCCGAGCGCGGGCGCGCATGCGCGCGGGGAGCCGACGCGCCAGGGGCCGGACTTCAGGCCAGGGGGCGCGGCGCACGCAGCATGGCGTCCAACATCTACTTGGTTCGCCAGCGGATCAGCCGGCTCGGCCAGGTGTGGCCGGGGGAGGCACCGCCCCTTCCCAGCCCCGGTCCGCCCCTTGCCTCCCACGGCCGCCCCTCTTCGTCTCCGCCCCGGGGCCTCGGCGAGCTGCTCAACCGCCGCCGCCCCGCCCCGCCCCGCCCCGCGGCCGCCCGGGCCCTCCTCCCGGAGTCCGCCCGTCCCGCCTGCCCTTCCGCGCCGCCGGGCTGATCCCTCTCGTCGGTCCCCTCCTCCTCAGCCCCGCCGTGCTCACGCTTTCTCCCTCCTTCCCTCAGAGAATGTCCTCCTTCCAGCTCAACCTCAACCCGCTCAAGGAGCCGCTCGGCTTCATCAAGGTCCTCGAGTGGGTGAGTGCAGCCCGCCGGCGAGGCCCGGGGTCGCGCCGCCGCGCCCGCTCCCTCGCCGGCACCCTCGGGGGTGGGGGGGAACCCGGGGCCGGGGGCGCGGCCGGCGCTGCCCCGAGGCCGCCTCTGTCCCGGGGATCTGACGGGGCCGGCGGAAACGGGACGGGAGGCCGCGGCCCGGGCCGCGTGGGGCGGAGACGCCGCGATCGGCGTCGAATCACGAGTCCCTCGGCTGCCGCCGTCCCGGGCGGACCCGCCCTCCCGCTCGAACGCTCACCTCCGAGTGCCCCGGCGGGAGTGGGGTTCACCTTTCTCGTTGGCCTCGCTGCCGGCCGCAGGGGAAGGGAGAGCTTCCTGTTGCGGTCCAGCCGAAACCCGAGGGGCCGGAGGGGCCGGCGCTGCCTGGGAAAAAGGCCCCGGCGTGCCTTTCTCTGCCCCACTGGCTGGAGGCCGCGCGCTCTCGAAAGCTGGTTGCGCCTCGCAGAAGTGATCTGAAGCACTCACGTCTTAAGTGGTTTTGAGACTGACCCCGGGTTAAACCTGGAGAAAGATAAATAAATGTGGATCGGAAAGCGCACGGGTGTATGGGGTGGGGTTGGGGAGTGGGTCTTTTAACCAACCACCTCCAGTCGGAGTCACTGAGCCACACCGTTTGTTTAAGGTGTTTCCAACCAACATCCTGCTTTTAGGCTTTTCCTGGGCACCCGCAATCGTTAACATCAAAAGAGACTTATTAATTCGACTTTGGTAATGATCACTTGGAGTTAGCGAGTACACCAGACACTTGCAGAGTTCGTGCCTTAAAACTTCGTGGCCTCGTACATAATTCAGGGCTGATTTTCAGGCCTGTATTAATAGGCAGCTGGCAGCTGGCCAGTGTGCAGGCATGTTGTTTTTTTTTTATAGCCAGTAATATTTACATGCTTAACTCTTTAACCCTATATTTCAGTGATAAGGCCGTGAAGAGTAAGAATTTCCGGTTTCCCCTTTGAAATGACCTCCTGAGAAAGTTTTTAAAGTTACTTTTTAAAGTTACACAGAAACTCAAGTTCCCTGGTGTGTACTCAATCTGATTTCCTGCCCACACCCAAAGTTCCCTCCCTACCTTACCCCCAAATTTTGAGTTGGTATTTCCTGAAAACTGAAAAAAATGATTTCACACTAATGTCTATTTTAAAGACATATAATGTCTATTTTAAAGATCGACATAACTGTGTATACTTAGAGTTCTTTAAACCTGGGCCCAGATTTAAATATAAGGAAAATAATTCGGTATAAACAAATTAAAAATTACAGGAGGAAAATCAAGTTAACTGGGCCAATCCAATATAAAGGTTAAGAAAATGCGTCTACCTAGTATATTTAATCTAATTGAGGATTATAATTTTCCACTTAAAGTAAGGTCTTTCGAGAGTCAGTTTTTTCTGTACTTATATTTGCCAATTAAAGAAAATGAGGCAACTTTTTTCCTTAATATTTTAAAAGGTTAGCGAAAAAAGTTTACTAGTAATGGTAAGTCTGATAGATATTTTAAATATCCTTTTTAAACTTTTAAGGAAAGACTTAAGTTCAGTTCTAACAGCTTATTACAAGACTGCTTTATGAAAAGACTACTCTTTGTTAATGGTGTAGTGACTATTTAGTCAACAAATATTTGAGTGTCTATTACATACCGGTACTGTGCTAAGCACTAAAATACAAACATGAATAAGCAGGGTCTTTTTGGTGGTGGGTGTAATTTGCATTTGAAGTAGTGTGAACCTGTACCTCTAAATCATGTACAGTGTTGTAAACCAACATTACCTCAAAAAAAATAATGCAAATTTTTTAAAGTGGTCTTTTTCTCATGATCTATTAAGAAAGACATGAAAATAAATATGAAAGACATGAAATAAGTTTAATAATATGAATTAAAATGTTAAATACCTTAATGAGTGAGTATAGTAAGTCAGAGGAGAGCAGTTGTGTAGAGAAGCTAGGAGGGATTTCATAAATGAAAGCACACTTGAAGCATGAATAATGTTCACTTAGGGAAGTTTGGTAGGGAATGAATTTCCAGGCAAAGGGAACCTAATGTTAAGTGGTGTGAAAAGTGGAAGCAACACAGCTCTATTTGAGAACTTAAAAGTAGTTGGAGTTCCCTGGTTTGTGTACTGAAAGGAAGGGTGCGGTTTGGGGTGATTATGAAAGGTTTCGAAGGACTTGCAGAATAATTTGTAGTTTTATCCTAACTTAACCTTCTGAGGTTAACTTTTGATAATCTGGGCCCATTCCTTAGGAAAACACATGTGTGCAGGGTATAGAATTTTGGGTTGTTGCTGGACAAGCTCTCACTTAGGCCCAGAATTCCTACGATATGGGGTGGGGACTAATTGATTCTAAGACTTTAAACAAGTGAACGACATAATCAGATTTGCCTTTTAGAAGTTTTCATTTTGTCAACATTATAAAGGATGATTTGGAAAGGTCATTTTCTTTTTTTTTTTTTTTTAAAGATTTATTTATTTACTTATACAAGCACTGGGTACAGTTAGAAGCACGGGGAGGGTGAGAGAATTCACCAGAGCTAGAGTGGGGAACAGAACAGGCAGAAGGACCGAAGTACACTGCTGAGGGGAGCAGCGGGCGGCAGGTGAGGTCTGCGCGCCATGTGGGACCCTCCTCCGGTGGCCGGGGAGCAGCCAGGGATCGAACCAGCGCTGCAGGCAGAGGCTGCGGGCAGCTTCGGCAACCCAGCACTCAACCACTGCGCCACCGGGGAGGCCCTGGAAAGGTCATTTTCAAAGCAAGGAAGACATTGCTTTAGAAACTAGAGGCTGTTGGATTGATTGCATTAATACATAAATATGTAGATGATAATGTACTTGAAGAGTTCTTAGATTCTTCAGCACTGAGATGCTGTGTTTCTAGAAAGACTAGACCCCCCCACACTGGATAGAATTGAGTCTTTTATTACTGACATACATCTCCTGGTCAGTCAAATTCATTAAGTTTTCTATTAGCATGTTTTATACCTTCCCAAATGATGCGTGCTTTTCATTTGTCTGCATGTGCTCCTGCCTGTAGATGCCCCATTTATAGACGTTGAACAGAGAAGTAAAAGTCAATGATTAATGTTTATCAAAGTAGCTTTATAAAGTCTTTAATATATTTCTGACAGATTTAATGTGGTTCTTACTTGAGAGCCAGTTATCCCTATTATTTAGATCAAGGTTTTTCATTAACATTTTTTTCTCTCCTTTTAATGTTGAACACTATATTTTGAACTTTCTTGCTGCTCTCTTATGTAGGATGAATAGTGAACAGATATTTAGCCCTGAATGAATCTAAGTAATATGCTTTCTTAATTCCCCATTAAGAATTTTGGAGACCCATAAAAACTTGTAGAAAAGATACTGTTTGGGAAGTACAGGCTAATATATATATATGGAAGTACAGGCTAATTAAATTTAATTTTAGAATTAGTAACCATCTCCAAATGTGTGTGTGTGTGTGTGTGTGTGTGTGTGCGCGTGCACGCTCGCGAGCATACTCACGGGCTGGTCAAGTTTATTGTCAGTATTGACAAGAGATACTTGTTGCGCATATTATATATATGCTAGTGCTTTACCTGGCCTGTTTTATCATTTAATCCTCTTCCAACCTATGAGGGTAAATAGTATTGTTATGTCCAAACCACTAAGGCTTAGAGAAGTTATATACAGGACTCAAAAGGTTGTTCTTAATAATTTTGATGACTTAACCATTGTGTTTTCTAATCGGGCTTTTAATAAATTAATGAAAAGATTACCCAAAACTTTAAGCTTGAGCTCCCCTCAGCAGTGTACTTCGGTCCTTCTGCCTGCTCTGCTTCGCTGCTCTGGCTCTGGTGAATTCTCTCATCCTCTCGCGCTTCTTACTGTACCCAGTGCTTGTATAAATAAATAAATACATAAATCTTTTTAAAAATAAATAAAGTACCTCAGTTCATAAAAAAAAAACAAAAAACTTTAAGCTTGAAAAACAAAAATATAAGGTATCTGAAATAATTTTCTTGTTTTTAGATACATGTTTATAATATGATCTCAGGAGTTAAAAACCATTAGAGTCTTCTTAATTCATTTATCAAGTTTGAATATTTTCTCCTGAAAAACATGAAGCAACATGGTTAAATTAATATTTAAGAAAATTACTATAAAATAATTAATAAGAAAATATATAACCCTTTGAATATTACATTTCAATGTGTTTAAACAACAACCTTTCAGAACTGCATTACTAGTTCATATAAATACATAAGGTTTAGTCATCCCAAATAGATTGAGATTTTTACAAATAGGGACCGTGCAGATTATGAAGGAAAATGCAGATTATGAAGGATAGAGCATATATAGACTTAACATTTGTCTCATCATTTGCTTAATATATACATTTTTAGGCTGTCTCCACCACAGACCACCTTTTAGAAAACATCTTCTGTTAGCCCTACCATTTGTCTTGTTTTACCCCATTGTGAGAAAGGGCAAAGATGATTTCAAATAGCATTTTATGCCTACCATACACTCTGTACTCTTAAAGTGTGTTAATAAATTTATTTACTCACTTCTATGCTCTCCATTTGCTCTGTTTCTTTGACCTAGAACTCTCAGTATTTACCATGACCTCTCTCAAGGGGTCAGTCAGATGATATTTTCATAGATAATACACATATGCTTTCAGAGCACGCACATCCAAATAATCCCACTCATCCCACTCATCCAAATAATCTCTGATAAAATATAAAAGGGAAAATTAAGGTAACACAGCAATGTTCTAATCCAGTAGTTCTGACACTTTGGTCTTAGATCCCCTTTATGTTCCTAAATACTGATGGCCTCAGGAGGTTTATTTTATGTGGGTTATTTACCACGTTAGAAACTAAGCCGAGACATTTAAAAATAATATTATCAGTATATCAGGCCTCCCCGGTGGCGCAGCAGTTGAGCGCTGGGTTGTGAAGCTGCCTGCGGCCTCTGTGGCGCCGGTTCGATCCCCGGCTGCTCCCCGGCCACCAGAGGAGGGTCCCACATGGTGCACAGACCTCTCCTGCTGCCCGCTGCTCCCCTCAGCAGTGTACTTCGGTCCTTCTGCCTGCTCTGCTCCCCGCTCTGGCTCTGGTGAATTCTCTCACCCTCCCGTGCTTCTGACTGTACCCAGTGCATGTATAAACAAAACACATACATACATACATACATACATACATACATACATACATACATAAAACATGCCTCTATTAAAAAAAATTTTTTTTTAAAAATAAAAAAAAAATATTATCAGTATATCACTTGAAAACTTGAATTACATCAATAGCAACAAATGCTGCCAGTTTTCCTTGAAGGAAGCCCACGTCATTCATTTTGGAGAAAAATAGCTGCTAAATATCAAAGTCTGACTAACTGTAGTTTGTTACTTACTCTTTCAAGTAAAACAACTGTTTCATGAAAAAAATTACCTAGTTCAGCATACTGCTGGTTGTTCCTGAAGACAGCCATTGTATTTTGGTTTGATGTCCCATTTCATCACAAAGAACATTAGAAAGACTTAAGGATCAGATCTTAATGAAAATAACTTATACTACTTTGTAAAGATATTCTTAAGTGAAACTAGCCTTTTTTTTAACTGCATGTGCATGGAAATGAGACAACATTTGATGCTATTGTGATTCTTATCAACAGTTTTATCCACTAGCTTTTGTTCATATCAGTGCAAATGTCAACACAGTGTAAAAAGCAAATAATGTCTTAGTAAAATATTATGAGAATATTTCTGACCTCATTGAGCTCCCTGAAGAGTCTTGGGTACTCCCTGGAGTCCACAGACCACACATCAAAGAATGCTGTTCCAAAACAAGATAAACATCATTGGGGTCTACAAATGGAACAGAAAATACGGCTGGGAGAAAAATTGTTCCCAGATCTGGAATAATAAATCTGGGAAGAAAGTGTCAATGTACTGTCTGGATTTCTGACTAGCATAGAGCTGAACACTGATGATGTGGGCTAGGGGACTCAAATATCCACCTAAACAACAACCAAAAATCTAGACCTACTAGGCCAGGAGATGACTGTAAAACCAGTAGATGTGGATAAAAGTAGAAAAACATACTCTCAGCCTGTATTTTTCAAATATCCTAAAACACACGGAAGAAAATTAATTTTCACTTTAAAACTCATAATATTGGCAAATACTATTAGTTTTCTGCACGAAGTGACAGGCTCACTTAAAGACAGACAGACAGCTCAATAGCAGGATATCCATTCACTCCAGAAGATATAAAAATAATAGAATAGTCTGAAACAATTTGAAAATAAGTGTATTCTGATTACTTGGAGATTTTTTATTTCATAATAGGCTTAATAATTGTTTAAGAATAATGGTGAGGGCCTCCCCGGTGGCGCAGCGGTTGAGCGCTGGGTTGCGAAGCTGCCCGCAGCCTCTGCAGCGCTGGTTCAATCCCCGGCTGCTCCCCGGCCACCAGAGGAGGGTCCCACATGGCGAGCAGACCTCTCCTGCCTGCCATCCACTGCTCCCCCCAGCAGTGTACTTCGGTCCTTCTGCCTGCTGTGCTCCCCGCTCTGGCTCTGGTGAATTCTCTCACCCTCCCGTGCTTCTGACTATACCCAAAGCTTGTACAAATAAATAAATAAATAAATAAATAAATCTTTAAAAAAAAAAAAAAAAGAATAATGGTGACAAAAAGTGCTGTCAACATGAGTTAGCAAAAAACTTACAGCTATTTATTTCAGCAGAAATTCAAGTTTATTTCTCATGATCAAAATTCTTAAGGGTTATCAAATGGTTGGAACTTGCTATGATTGTACTTTAGAAGCAGGAGGAGATAGAAGAATGAAACTTGAAGCACTTTGTAACTCACTTCACTCCTTAGTGCACATTGGGAAACTAGAATAACAGCATCGATAACACAACTTTTTCTTTTTTTTAATGAGTATCTTTAGTGGACACTTCAGCCTTTGCCTTATGAAAATCAGTACCTTCTCTTTAGGTATCTAATCCTAGGCAAACATGCTGTGACAGTTCATTTTTTTTTTTTTTAAATAGTGAGTGATCATTTGAATTAGTAAAGCAGTGTACATTTGATTTTGTGTAGTATACTTTTAGGTCTGTTAGTGAAGATTTCAATTAAACCTCTTCAGAAAGAAATTTAAGTAGATAATATCAGATTAGTGATGAAAACAAGTAGCAATGATTAAATTAGAAGCATCTAAAAGACACCCACAAATTAGATGAGTACAAGTATTCCCCCTCATAAACTCTTAGCTGAACAGGATCTAGAAATAGGACATAGGACTGTGACTGTAATTGTTTTTCACATAACTCATTGAAAATACCAGTGGTCTCTACATTTTATTATATTAATAAATCACTATAAATGTAAAATTGTATGCATGGAGCCCCAGCATGAATCTAACTTAGATGCATATTTTACTATGTCAGTGTCTTAAGGTATACACTCAAGGTAGATTTCATTAACTCATCTAATATTCACCTAATAATTTTTTTTTTTTTTTGCTACATTCTTATGCTCTGATAAAGTAGAATCTGATATTTCTGTGTAAGGTAGCTAATGACTAGATTTCATAGGGTACTAATGCTTCCGTTTTCTCTTTTGGACAAGCCCAACATGGTTTTCAGTGGTTTATAAATTGCAATAAAACGCTAATTCTTGTTTAAATTGAAAAGTAGATATCAGTAGGAGTTATTAAGTGTTTTCTTCTTGTCCACCAGTTAATTGAGTACTCTGCCAAAGTTGCAGATCTCAGTAAGTGAAGAGAGATTTGCCATCATTGTCATCCAGTGGGCAGAGAGATGAGTGGAACTGTTTCTCTGGTAACTTGAGGCTGTCACAATGAGTATGGAACCTTTTTGACCTAGAGTGAAGCTTGCTGTCATCCTGTCCTTGGATTCTTATAAGTTATAGATAGAATCATGTCAGCAGTTTCGATCATTTTTCAGGATGGAGAAGGAAGGGAAAATGAATTTTACAAGTGGCAAGGAAATATAAATCATAACAAGTACTACTGATTTTAGACTACATGTGCTCATAGGGCTAACCTTCCTAAAGTAAATGAGTGAAACAAACTGGAAGAAAAGCAATAGTCTAAATTAGTTGATTTCTGGCAACTAATATGTTTCCTGAGGATTGCTGAGATAGTAAGAGAGTGATGGCCATTTGGAACGCAGATGACCTGTTTTAAGTGTCACCTGTCACTCAATGTCAGGTGATTGTTTTATGGGAACATATGTCTAATGTTGCATCTCTCTCCACACACTCAGAAAAGCAAGACATTCAAATTTTTAAGTGGAGTATGCTGATAGTAAAATGTGACAACAATTTCACAATTTTTTATAAATACTGGGAACGCCATACAAATATATCTGCAGGCCAGGTTTCACATGGGCTGCCAATATATAACGACTAAATCAAAATAGCAGTAGACTATTAGAGTGAGTTAATACACTTGGACAGTTTATCCTCAGATTATTTTTTACCTTATTAAGTATAAAGTGTATGCCTTATCCCCTTTTTCTGTAAGATAAAGACCAGAGTTGTAACATGGTATTTTATGTCTTGAAATGATGGTTATGTTAGAATCAAATATGCTTTTATTTGTAGATTATTGGATATTCATATTTTTTTTAATTGGGCAGTTACTGAGCATTTGCTATGTGAATAGGTTAACACTGAAAATCATGAATAAGACATACGTGCAAAAAACACGTTCTGGCAAGGGAGAGGTAAAGGTGACAGTGTGCCACTTGTTTATTAATTTTTGTAGTAGGTGGAAAACTAATTTTTGTTGTTTTGGAGAGCAGGTGGCTTATAAGGCACCAACTCAAGAAAAATGCCTCTAGTATGAGTCTGTGATTGCCCAGGGGACAGAATAGGGAGTTCTACACAATCAAATGGGTAGGACCTTAAAGGATGACCTTATTTAGAGAATCAGGGAGTTAGGGACAATTTGCTACAGAAGAAACATACATCCAAGACATAAATACATGGTGTGTTTCCAGAACAATAATAGTACAATATGATAATATCATATAGTACCTGGCAGGGAGTAGAGTGCAAAGAAATCTAGAAAGATCAAATTGAGGCTATCTCAGCCATGCCTGTTAGGCTAAATTAAAAAACTTGGGCTTCTTTTTCCCCTAAATTTAGGTCTGGAAAGCCATTGAGGAAATCCTTTTACATGGTAATTTAAGTGTTGTATTAGCCACACTAAAAAAAAATGAAAAGAAACATGAAATTAATTTTCATAATATATTTTAGTCATAACCCAATATATCCAAAATATTGCTTTAACAAGTAATTAATATAAAGTTACTGGTGAGATATTTTACATGCTTTTTTTTTTATACTAAACCTTCATAATCCAGAGTACATGTAACAACACTACAGCTTACCTCATTTCAGATGAGCCATGTTTAAAGTGTTCAGTAACCCTTTTTGGCTGTGGCTGCTTTACTGGACACTGCAGCTCTAGAGCTCCCACTATAAAAGATGAATGATGATAAGAATGAGATAAGAAATGAGAGTCTGTTGGATTAGTGCCAATGAAAAATGGTGAAGACCTGAACCAAAATAGTAACAGGAATGACGCAGACAAGTAAGCAGAGCTTTTACTTTGCTCTCTGCTTTGTGTAATCTCAAGCAGTTTTTTTTTTCACTTGTCTTTAGGTTTTTATGATTCATCCATGTGATATGGGTATCTATAGTTCATGTATTTCTTTATTACTGTATAATATCCTTTTGTAAGTATGTATGACTGTATGTTATCCATTTTCCTGTTGTTTCCCCCCTCCATTTTCACTATTATAAATAATGTCACTGTGACTATTTTTATGAATGTCTACTAGTACACATTAGCAAGAGTTTCTCTTAGGTTTATATACTAGTAGATACTAATCCTTTGTTATACTATTGCAGATACTTTCACCTACTTTGTCGTTTGTTTTACATTCAAAAGCTGACTTTTTATCTTAAAAAATTATTTTTCTGCTAGATTTAAAAATCTATGGTTAGTGTTTTGTTTTTCTTCACTGTGGTCACAGATTTTTTTAAACTGTCTTTAAATTTTTTCAAGATTCTCTTTGTACATTTAAGTCTGCAGTCCATCTGTCTCATTTATTAAATTGTCTTTCCTTGTATTAATTATCTGTTGTAACATAATAAATTACCCCAGGCTTATCACTTAAAACAACAGATATTTATCACCTTATAGTTTCTGTGTTTCAAGAATCTGGAAGCTGCTGAGTGGTTTTTACTCAGGGTCTCCTAAATGGTTTCTTTCAAACTGTTGACTGGAGTTAGAGTCTTCTCAAGCCTTCCAGCTCACTCACATGGCTGTTGGCAAGCCCCAGCCAATCCACCTGCAAGATCACCACATGGCTGCTGTTAGTCCACTGGTAATCCTAGATTCTTTGCCACATGTGTTACTGTAAATTACCTAAATAGCCTCCCAACATGTAGCTGACTTCCCCTAGAGTTGGTGATATTAGAATGTGAGAAAAGCGAACAGAAGGTGTGGTCTCTTGTTGTCTAATCTCAGAAAGGACATCTATTCTGTCTACCTTATTTTATTCACTAGAAACAAATTATTGTATCTAGTGCATACTCAAAGGTAGAGAAATTAATCTCCACCTTTTTTTTTTTTCTTTTTTTTTAAAGATTTATTTATTTATTTATACAAGCACTGGATATAGTCAGAAGTGCGGGAGGGTGAGAGAATTCACCAGAGACAGAGCCAGAGCGGGGAGCAGAGCAGGCAGAAGGACCGAAGTACACTGCTGAGGGGAGCAGCGGGCGGCAGGGGAGGTCTGCGCACCATGTGGGACCCTCCTCTGGTGGCCGGGGAGCAGCCGGGGATCGAACCAACGGTGCAGAGGCTGCCGGCAGCTTCGCAACCCAGCGCTCAACCGCTGCGCCACCAGGGAGGCCCAATCTCCACCTTTTGAGGAGTAGTATTCACAAATTTATGGACATATCTTAACAACCCCATACTCCTTTCCTTGGTGATCTGCATTGCCCAAGCTATAAGATAGACTTTGTCTACACACATCTATTTCTGATCTCTTTATTCTGTTCCAATTTGTGTATTCTGTTTCTTTTCTCTAATACTATTTATTTAAAGATTTATTTATTTATGCATATAAGAGCTGGGGTACAGGCCAGAGATGCAGCGGCGGGGGTGAGAGGACTCACCAGAGACAGAGTGGGGAACAGAACAGGCAGATGTACTGAAATACACCGCTGAGGGGAGCAGCAGGTGAGACATGAGACAGGAGAGGTCTGCTGCGCCATGTGAGTCACCTCCATGGCTGCCCAGGGAATCGAACTCATGCTGTGGTGGCTCCAGAGACCTCTATAGTGAGTGCTGCGTCTTAACCCCTTGCACCACCAGGTAGGCCCTCCAACTACTTTTTAAGACCCAGAAATACACACAAGTAAGACTTTAAAGAGGCCATGTAGGGGCCTCCCTGGTGGCACAAGGGGTTAAGACACAGCAGTATGAAGCTATCCACAAGTTCAATACCCGGTCAGGGAGGTAACTCATGGCACAGCAGACCTCTCCTGTCTCACCTGCTGCTCCCCACAGCAGTGTATTTCAGTAGATCTGCCTGTTCTGCTCCCCACTCTGTCTCTGGTGAATCCTTTCACCTACCGCATCTCTGGCCTGCACCCCAGCTCTTGTATGCATAAATAAATCTAAAAAAATAAAGAGCCCATGTATGGAATAGTATCTCTTCTTTGCTTACCACCTTTGGACTTCACAGTTACTTTTGAGTTCCAAATAAAAATACCTCCATTTCATTCCTTGTAATTTTTCTATGTTAATAAATAAGATGTCCTTTGAATTTAATATAATTCTTAGTAGGTACATTGGAGTATGAGCAAATGAATTGTTATAGGTATGGTTTACTGATTTTTATATTATACTTGGGAAAAATAAAATAACATTTGTTAAAAATTGCAAATAAGGGGCCTCCCTGGTGGCCTAGGGTTTAAGTCTCACGCTGTCATCTGAGTTGGATCCCAGGCCAGGGAGCTAACCCACATATGGCACAGCAGACCTCTCCTGTCTTGCCTGCTGCTCGCCTCAGCAGTGTATTTCATCAATTTCCCTGTTCTGTTCCCCACTCTGTCTCTGGTGAATCCTCTAACCTCCCCCGTACCTTTGGCCTATATCCCATTTCCTCTATGCAAAAATACTTTTTTTTAATTGCAATAAAATGTTAATTTTTTTCATATATGCATTTAATTTGTGTTAAGAATTTCTAGAATGTTAGTGAGCTAGTTTTTTTTTTTTTTTTAAGTTATAGAATATTTAAGATTTATTTATTTATTTATACAAGCACTGGGTACAGTCAGAAGCGCAGGAGAGTGAGAGAATTCACCAGAGCCAGAGCGGGGAGCAGAACAGGCAGAAGGACCAAAGTACACTGCTGAGGGGAGCAGCGGGCAGCAGGAGAGGTCTGTGCGCCATGTGGGACCCTCGCCTGGCTACCGGGGGGGTCGAACTGGCGCTGCAGAGGCGGCGGGCAGCTTCGTAGCCCAGCGCTCAAATGCTGCGCCACCAGGGGAGGCCCTAGTGAGCTAGTTTTTAATAACCAATTTATATAAGATTTTAATGACCCATGTTTCAGGTATAGTAATGTCTCCCCCCCCCCTTTTTTCTGTCTTACTTTGTGTAGATTGCTTCTATCTTTGCTTTTGCCACCTGTGGAGGTTTTAAGGGCAAAATAGACATTTCAGTATCTTGTCCTCAAGTTCCTGAAAATAAAACAATTACTGCCACTTTTGCTTATCCATTCAGGTGAGTTACTTGTCTGTTTGCTTTTATAATTTAACAACTTGAATTCACTTTCGTATTGACTCATTACGATTTCCAGCAATTTACTGATCTCAGGGAATAGAAAAAAATTTCATATTCCTTTGTAAGTAGTGGTTATTGCTATTCAAGCCATGGTACATAGACTACCTGTCTGCAAACTGTCTTCCCAGTCTTTGTTGAAGTAAATATGGACGATCAAAGTAAGCATTTAGAGACTTTTATGTGAAACTGCTTTGACATTTTTATTATATCACTCCACATTGAACTGAAGTTTTAAAAACAAAACAGAGCCTGTTCCATCAGCTTACAAAGCCTGTTCCATGGCGTTCCATGGAACGCCATGAGGTGGAATTAAACTAAACTTTGAAAAGTCCAGATTTCTTGTATATATGCAATTACTAAACAATTTTGTCCTTTATAGAGTTCTAGCACATGTATTTATATAAAGTAAAGAGTTCCTGTGTTTCTTTCACCAACATAAAACTTGATTTCCTTACTCTCAAACTAAAATGAGTATTTTATTTGTAAATTCTTCATTTGAATTCGTTGAAAAGTATCTTGAATATTTCCTGTATTTAAGCCTCTCTTGGATTGTTTTTCTGACCAGTAAATTGGAAAAATTACTTCTTAAGTTTGTTTTGATTATTAAATAAAACCTTATGTTAAAGATATGTCAGCAGTAATTATCTTTGTTTCTCTATCTCCCAATCTCTCTTTTCTTTCCTAAGTCCCTATACAAGCTACTGTTACAGCATCTTTAGTGATAGGGCTTTTGCCACTCAAGGACTGGAAAAATTAAAGATAATGTGAAGTCAGCTGCTAATTAATCCAGAATTAAAATACATTATTATAATTGGATCTCCTGGAGCTAGTCACACTGACTCTGCCTCCTAGAATGGGATATCATATCTAAAATTATAAACTATTTTGCATCAGCCCTCTCAATCTGCTAATTTTTCATTGCAGGAAAATAATATCTGGGTGTGAAAGTACTTAATTCACTCTATAGCCAGTCTATCATGAACCAATTTCTGGGTTATAATTTATGTACATTTCTTATGAAAATTTTTAACTTAAATGTTTGATTTTTTTCTTATTTTACAAGGATAATATATATATTTGGGAATGTTTTTTAAAATCTCATTTTAATGTTCTGCCTATGTGTTTCTAACTGTTGGAAAAGTTTTAATAATTCATAAGTTTATTTGAATCTTTTTTTTAAATAGGTTGAATCAGGCATCATTTCAGACAACTGCACAGGCAAATGTGTGTGATATACAATGGAATAATCAAGTTCTTATTGGAGATTACTCTTCCTCTGCACAATTCTATGTTACATTTGCAGTCTTTGTCTTCCTGTACTGCATTGCTGCTCTTCTGCTCTATGTCGGTTATACAAACCTCTATCGGGAGAGTAGAAAATTTCCCATGATTGTAAGTAATTGCTGTCTTTTTTTTTTTATTAAAGGTTTCTTTTTATATATATATATAAGATTTATTTATTTATACAAGCACTGGGTACAGTCAGAAGCGCGGGAGGGTGAGAGAATTCACCAGAGCCGGAGGGGAGAGAAGAGCAGACAGACTGATGAAGTACACTGCTGCGGGGAGCAGCGGGCGGCAGGAGAGGTCTGCACGCCATGTGGGACCCTCGCCCGGCGGCTGGGGATTGAACAGGCGCTGCCGAGGCTACAGGCAGCTTCACAACCCAGTGCTCAACCGCTGTGCCACCGGGGAGGCCCTAATTGCTGTCTTTTTAAACAAAAATAATTGCTTAAGTATACATTATATGTTTTTTCTAATTTTTATTTACATTATATTTGAATAGTTATTTTCTATTCTATATAAAATAGTTATTTTCTTACACTGGAAATAAAAATTTTTAGCATAACCCAGTTCAACATATTTGGGCCTGTGTTTGAGTTTGAGGCTCTAAGATTTAGCTCTCTCAAGTTTTCGTGTTTAACTCAATTCATTCAACCTGTTTTGCAGCACTTTCTCTGTACTCTTGGGAGTACAGACCTTTGTTTGTTTCTGTTTTAAACCTGGAACAGTGATAGAACATACTAGGTTGCAAGTAGCAGAGAAATTAAGTAGAAATTGTACCTTTAGTTTGAAGAATTGCTGACCACATTAGTAGTCTCATAACTATGTTCCTACTTTTTCCTCTTTTTCAAAGACCCCCCCTCTATGCCTTTTTGCTGTCTCTTATTGAGCGCTATAGTCTTTATCAGGAATCGGCAAACAAGCCAAATCTGACACACAGTTGTTTTTTCAAATAAAGCTTTTTTTGGAGCATGGCCATATCCAGTTGGTGATGTATTGTTTCACTGCCTTCACGCTGCAGTGGCAGAATAGTTGTCACAGAGATAAAAGATATTACAGTTTGGTCCTTTTCAGGGGAAGTTTGCTGACTCCTGCACTGTATCCCCAAATTCTTTAATTTAAAATCTGACTCAGATAATTCTTACTTTCAGCATTAGTGGCATTTGTGAGCTAATCTGAATCTTTGAGAATTTGAGCTTGAGGCCCTAACACATTTTTTGGCTTCAGAGTCTACTGAGCTAGAAATAAAAATAATCTCTGAGATTCATGAATGTTGGTAGAATCTGTCTTAGATTATTAGTGGCAAGTCCAAAGATAAGCCATGGTTTTAAACTGGACATCCACTACAAAGACTTGAAGAGAAAACATGTGTTTATGATACTGGTCATTCATCTCTATGAGAAAATACTGTCATCTGCTAGTTATTTATGAAGTTACTTTAAAGGGAAGGCTGCTTAAATAGGAAAAAAATTAACATAACAGATTTTATTTACTTACTTATTTATTTTTAATTTTGCTACCTGGATCATAAGATTGAAAGTGGTAAGTAAGGAATAAAACAATTTTTTGTGCATATTTATTGTTTCTGTTATCTGAGGAGAGATTCTTAAACGAAACCTTTTTTTTTTTTTTAAGATTTATTTATTTATGCATACAAGAACTCTGGTATAGGCCAGAGTTATGGGGGGATGAGAAGATTCACCAGAGATAGACTGGGGAGCAGAACAGGTGGATCCACTGAGATACATTGCTGAGTGAAACAGCAGGCAAGATAGGAGCGGTCTAGTGTGCCATATGTGGGTTAACTCCCTGGCCTGGGATCGAACTCAAACTCAAGCTGCAGGGCTGGCAATCGTGCTGAGAATTTAACCCCTGAGCCACCATGGAGGCCCCTTAAACCAAACAAACCTTTTCATAAAATATTCTTGCTAGGTGCCTTTCAAAAAGATAGACAACTGATTTTCAATGATTAGCAAAATTTACTTATAAGATTCTATAACTTCTACAGACTTTTCAAGTTTTATTTCAAAAGGAACTGATGATCATAAAGATAATTTCACTTTGTTAAAATTCTTTACATTTTAACTTCTCAGTGAAGACATGTCTTGTCATTTGTCATTATCCCAAGAAATTTTTAAATTAAACCTTAGCAATGAGTTTTTTATTTCTCGTTGTTTTGTTTTACTAAGCTTTAAAAATACCACACCTTTTTTTTTTTTTTTTTTTTTTTTTTTTTAAGATTTATTTATTTATTTATACAAGCACTGGTTACAGTCAGAGGCACGGGAGGGTGAGCGAATTCACCAGAGCCGGAGCAGAGAGTATAAGAGGCAGAGTGACGAAGTACACTGCTGAGGGGAGCAGTGGGTGGCAGGAGAGGTCTGTGCGCCATGTGGGACCCTCAGCTGGCGGCCAGGAATCGAACCGGCGCTGCAGAGGCTGCGGGCAGCTTCGCAACCCAGCGCTCAACCGCTGCGCCACCAGGGAGGCCCAAAAATACCACACTTTTAAAAGCGGTACTCAAATCTATTTTTGCAGAGGGGTTTTCCATCAAATAAAACTATAAAAACTGATCTATTGCATCATTTAAAAATTCAAAAATGATTTTCTACCTTGGAGTAATTAATACTCTACAGAGAGAGAATCTAGAATTAGTTCCTTAAGTGGGGTTTTTTTAATTGCTGTAATATATAATGGATGTTTATTGTCTATAAAAGTCTAGTTTCTGAATTAAATTTTAAATTCTGCTTTTAATTCAGCCATATAAATGTAAATTTTCTTTAGATAGCCAATTTTTTATTTTTTTTTTTTTTTTTTTTTTTTTTTTTTTTATAAATTTTATTGTTATATTCCCCATACAATTGCAGCCCCCCATTCTGACCCCAATCCCTCCCCTCCCGCCCCGCCCCCTAAAAGTGTCTCTGGTTCATAGTTTTTTGTTGATTTTGATTTTCACTTTCTTATAGTTATTCATTTTCCTGGTCCCTTATTTAAGTTTTCTAGATTCCTGCTATGAGTGAGACCATCTGGTATTTTTCTTTTTCTTTTTGGCTTATTTCGCTGAGCATGATCCCTTCCAGCGCCATCCATGTTGCTGCAAATTGCATGTGTTTATCTTTTTTGAATGCTGAGTAATATTCCATGGTATATATGTACCACATCTTCTTGATCCAGTCATCTATTTTTGGGCATTTGGGTTGTTTCCAAAGCTTAGCTATTGTAAACAGTGCTGCTATAAACATAGGGGTGCAGGTGTTCTTTGGAATTGATGTTTCTGTGTCCTTTTAGATAGCCAATTTTTTAAATATGACCAAAGATAATACTGATTTTTTTTCTTTTAAATAATGCTTGTTATTGAAGACATATTTCTTTAAATAGTATTCTCAATTCTCTGCTAAGGAATTTCTGGGAGCACTTCAATTTGAAATTTGATGTCAACTTTAGTTGTTTTTTTTTAAGTGTAGTACTTTTTTGTGTCAAGTACAGGAACTTAAAGGTTCTAGGAGAATAAGAGATATCATAAAACAAAACCAAACAGAGATAGGCTATCCTAAATCTTAAAAATGTGTTACAAGTCATATACTATCTTTGACTGATAGAATCAGAACTGCCACAGACAGCTACAGGTCACATATTGCAGAACTCCAGTGACTTATTCACCTGGGCTACAGTGTGATGACTAGAATCCCAAGTAGAACAGACTATTCTCAGAGGCTCACGTTCCCCCCATTTTCATTTTCCTTCATTCTAAAATTACTCTGTGTATCATTTTCAAAAAAACTGCTTCTGAAATATGAAAATATCATGCTTTAAGCCATCAACAAAGTAGGTTTTAAAAAGCATAATCAGGGCCTCCCCGGTGGCGCAGCGGTTGAGCGCTGGGTTGCGAAGCTGCCCACAGCCTCTGCGGCGCCGGTTCGATCCCCGGCTGCTCCCCGGCCACCGGAGGAGGGTCCCACATGGCGCGCAGACCTCTCCTGCCGCCCGCTGCTCCCCTCAGCAGTGTACTTCGGTCCTTCTGCCTGCTCTGCTCTCTGCTCTGGCTCTGGTGAATTCTCTCACCCTCCCGCGCTTCTGACTGTACCCAGTGCATGTATAAACAAAAACAAAGAAAGAAAACATGCCTCTATAAAAAAAAAAAAAAAAGCATAATCAGGAAAAAAAAAAACAGTGTTTTTTAAATTAGGAATTTGGAAGGAAGCAACCTGAAAATAAATAAAATTTGACATACTGGTCAGAGCTATAGACTTTAGCCCAGAGAGAATTTATTTAGCATTCAGTAACCTCATACTATTTATCAGTTTTCCAAAAGGCATTGTATTTCTTAATACAGTAAAGGGAGTTGAGAGTGTATGCAAAGGATCATAATGAAGGACCTTGAAATTTAAATTGACTAAGGAGAGAATTGAGAACATGAATGAAATTGAGACAGTAAAAAAGTGATGAGATTAGATTGAGGGTCTTGGAGAGAGTCAAAGAGGAATTGGGATGCCAGAGGAATTGAGCTGCAAAGAGGTGATGTTGGGGAGTATAAGATCATTGAAAGGGAGATTGGGGGATATTAGTGATAACAGGGTCCAAGATATGATCCTCAGGGTGAGTAGCTAAGGTCAGGTTGTGGTAAGGACAGTGTAAAATTGTGATTTCCAATTTAAAAGTCTTAGACTGGTAGAGAATTGAGTCCCAGTTACTAATGTATCTCAGACACTGGCAGTATTTATTAGTATAGTATTTATTTTAACTATGGTCTTTTTATGAAGTATATCACACAGGCCATTTCTCGGTGCCATAGGGTTTCACTGCAATTTTAATTCTTTTGTCATGGATTTGAAATTTAGTATTTCTAAATTTACTTCATTATTAACTCATACTTATTTTTTGCTTTAGGACTTTGTTGTTACTCTGGTTGCCACTTTTTTGTGGTTGGTGAGCACTTCAGCCTGGGCTAAAGCTCTTACAGATATTAAAATAGCAACCGGTCACAATATTGTCCAGGAACTTCAGCCTTGTCATAATAAAGACATGACGTGTCATTTTCTCTCAGTAACTAGTATGGGATCCCTGAATGTATCTGTGGTATGTATGCAGTATTGATCAAATATTTTATTTCCCTTATTAGAAAAAATCTTACAAGAAATTATGATAACTTGCTTTTAGTAGACCTGTGGGTGAATGTACTAGTTTTTATTTTTTAAAGGATGACTGAGTCCTTTCATTAAACTAGACTATGTAAATAGGCATTTTCCCTCAAAGGCACAAATAATAGTCACTAACACCTCTTAAGACTATGTATCAGACATTGTGCTAAGGGAATTACACTCATCTCTTGTTTTAGCTACTCAGCAGTTCTAACAGAAGTATGAAAGATAATGTTATTATCTCCATTTTATAATGAAGATGTAACTGGGGAAAAATATGCTCAAATGTTAATTCTGCCATTGTGATACAGCTCTACTCAGTGGCAATCCAAGGTTTGAACAAGATCTGATTTTATAGCCTATTCTCTTGACTTGCCCTGGGTATATAAAAATACTTTTATAGTTTATTAAATAAAAAATTTTGTTTATATAAATTTAAATATTGTTAAATGTATTTTGGAAAAATACAGGTAAATGTATTATTAATGTGCTGAGTATATTATGTTTGGGGAGAGGAGGCTCTTGTCTTTCCAAGAAAATAATTTTCCAGTGAATGAAGTAAATACCATTGTAAAACAATTTGGCCAAATTTTTGTGTTTCATAACTTTGTAATTTAGAAGCTTTTGCATTTTTTGCTTTTATAATGACCTGAGGTAGGGACAGTTTCAGCAATGTTGTTTCTGTATGCAAGTTTTGAACTTAAGTAATATTATCCAAGCTTTCTACCCCACTCCTACTTTCTATGTCTTTTTATTCTCATATTTTTTAAATGAATTTTTCAATTTATCTCTGAAATGTTCATCTTTTTTTTTTTAAGATGTTTTAATTATGCATACAGTTGCTGGGGTGCAGGCCAAGAGGTGTGGGGGGTGAGCGGACTCACCAGAGACAGAGTTGGGAGCAGAACAGGTGGACCCACTGAAATACTGCTGAGGGAAGCAGAGAGTGGGCCTGGAGAGGTCTGCTGTGCCATGTGGGTTAGCTCCCTGGCCCTGGGTCAAACTCATGCTGCAGTGGCTGCAGATAGCTTCATACTGCTGAGACTTACCCCTTTGCACCAACAGGGAGGCCCTAAAATGTTCATCTCATATCAGATTTATATCTGGAAGATTAATTTCTTTTAGGTTGATTAATACAAAATATAAAGTAAAGTTCTTCTGTGACTTCTTTTCTGGTCACACCTTTTGGATTAGAGGAGATGGTAACAGGGAAAGAAAGTAGGGAAATGGGAAAAGATTCAGAAGGGCAGTTTATACCAAGTTAGATGGGAGAAAAGTAAAAGCTCCCCAAAGAAGGAAACATGAATTTTTATTTCTCTTCATTCAGAAGCACTAAGTCTAAATACAGAGAAATAAAAGGAAGGCTTTAGTTTTCTCAAATTTATTCCCATCCTTTTTTGATAGCAAGATTTATTTTAGTCATGATTTTATATATGTTACTGTTTTAGAAATTTAGCTTTATTTCATGGAAATGTCATTATATGCCCAAATTTGTCATCAAAAGAGAGAATCTTCCCTCTTTCCCCTCACTTTATATGTAGTTTCAACTTTAAATGAAATAAAATCTACCTAAAAATAGCAAATAAAACTAAAATTTTTTAAATTCAATTTTTTGAACTAGATACTAGATTTTCATGTTTTTCTCTTTTTTAGATCTTTGGCTTTCTGAACATGATACTTTGGGGAGGAAATGCATGGTTTGTATACAAGGAGACCAGCTTACACAGTCCATCAAATACTTCTGCTTCCCATAACCAAGGAGGTATTTCGCCTCCTACTGGAATATAATTAAAGGGAGAAACACACTGGATGAAATATACAACTATATTATGACCTGTTGCCAAATCTTACGAACCATTATTTGTTTCTAATAAAGTAATGGCTTTTTCAATAAATTGGTGGGTTTAAAATTTTGCTGCTTTTTTACATGAAATCTGTGCCTTTCTTAGAAATTTAAGATGTAAATGTATTTTCACATGTAAATTTGAAAATTCAGGGGCCTATTTTGGGATGATACACATTTTTCAATGAACAGTAATTTCTTCACTAAGTTGTTTGCCTTCCAAAGTGTTTACACTTTAAGCCTTATCATATGTCTTCACTCAGAAGAATTATATTGTCATATCATAATAGGAAGAAAATCTCTATTTGGATTATACACTACAGTAAGTTTGTACAGATCACATACCTAAGAACTGTCTTTGTTTAAGAGAACATTGATTACAGAAATCATATTTAGAAAAAAACATTTAGTGGAGAATTTATATCAGAACATTGTTAATATGTTATGAAAATTTTTTAATTGCAAAGACTCTGTATGTTTTGTTTTTCTGAATGACCTACCATTCTTACTAGGTGTACTAAAATTATTTGAGGAGTGGAGTTTGAAATTTTCTGTAGCTGTATAGCTGATAGTAATGCTGTCACATGAGGTGTAAGCTTCCATTATGTTGGTTTTTTAATAGACTTGCTATAGAAGTAGAAAGAACATGGTTCAACTAGTTATTTTGATATGTATGGGCATTACTAGGTGATATTTGCTGTCCTTTGTTGCTCATGCTACCTCAGTGCAGGCTGAGAGTCTCGTTTGACTAAAATAATTCACATTTTTTTGTAGACCCTGTTCATAGGGTTAAAAAAATTACAGTTGCCTTTTACTTTTCGGTCACTTAACATTTACAGTCAATGACATTGCTATTTTGAGTTTAGCATTGATATTGTGAAAATAAATGAGATTTGGATTTTGTGTTTCATAATGTTCATTCTTATTTCACAAATGGGTGATTAAGGAATTATGCATTATAAACAAACTAGTGAGCTATATTATGGGTGCTTTGTCTGCACGTACATTTGGTTATATTTTATATAGAAGGCTTATTCACATTTTGCTTTTATTTTTGTTGTACAGGGCAAGATTACTTATTCTTACAACATGATTGCTTATATGTAAAACACATCTTGCTATTGCCTAATTTTGTTGCTTTTGTTCATGACAAGAATTGTCAATATGGAATGTATACCTTTTACGCTACCAACTTAATAAAGGAGTTAAAAGAAAGAGTGCACTGATTGTTACAAAGAAACCTTCATCTTAAAGACATGAAGGAAACTGCAAGAAATAGAATATCATATTAGATTTTCCAAATGTTTGGCAAGGAATAAAAGAGACCTACCAAAAAAAGCTTTGGAGACTCTGTTCTATCCTTTTTTCATTCACTCTCGTTTAAAAAATGCTTGTTTGCGGGAACTCCCTGGTGGCGCAAGGGTTAAGATGCAACCTATGAAGCTATCTGCCGCCACTGCAGTATTAATTGGATACCCACATGGCGCAGCAGACCTCTCCTGCCTCTCATGCTGCTCCCCTCAGCAGTGTACTTCAGTCTGTCTGCCTGTTCTGTTCCCCGCTCTGTCTCTGGTGAATCCTCTTACCCCCCACACCTTTGGCCTGTACCCCAGCTCTTATATGCATAACTAAATAAATCTTTAAAAAAAATAAAAAATTATTAAATAGTGCTTGCTTGTAACTTTCAGGTTAAGTTTTTCTGACAATTGACTGGTACACAGCAAAGTTTCTTGATCAAGAGTGCATGCCCAGGTGCCAAACTGCATGAAATTGAACATTGGCTTCATCATATAGTAGCTAGTTACCTTGAGCAAATCATTTAGCCTCATTGTACCTAATTTGCTTATATGAGAAATAAGAGTACTTAGAAGAATGTTTATAGGAATGAAATGACTTAATAAATGTTCAGCATATAATTACTTCGTAAATGTGAGCTGCGATTACTATTGATACCACTAATACATAGATTCTTCACCTGGAGTCTATGGGACTAGCGCAGGGAAGATACTGATCTTGGGCAGAGAGGCAGAGGAAGCTTCAGGATTACCTGGGTCTTTATATTCCTCAAATAACTGATTATTTTGCTAGTTTTCTATAGGTGGGTGGGTATAAAGTTAACATTAAATCTTAATAGCTACTAAAATTATAGTGAATCTAATTTTAGTATATGCTGCCGAAGCGAGCACAAATTATAGTGAATCTAGAAAGGAATTCTTTTTGTTACCCTGATAGTCCGATTTTGAGTTCAACATAGGGCTAAGCAATTTATAAGCTAAATTCTAGGACAGATGTAACAAAGACTGAATTACGAGATGATAGGTTGTAGAGAATTACTAATAAAAGTATTTACTAAGGTTTTTGTGGATTGAAGTCACGCGGCTAAAGATAATTCTTAACCTACTGTAAATGTTAAGGGTTGTTGCTTGTAAGTACTTTGTTTCACAATTTTTTAACTTATGTAGTATTTCAGATTAATATAAAAATAATATATAGCTAAATTCCCATCAATTGAGCAGATGTTAGCATTTTACTTTATTGTGTCAGGTTTGTTTTCTTTTTTAAAGGAAATAAAACTACAGATACAGCCCTTTCCTTACTAAGGTAGAGTTATATTTTTCCCCACTTTTCATTATTACAAATAGTGCAGGGGGTTGAAGGTTGAAGGTTTCTCTGAGACATGGAAGTGGAACCTTTAGAACGTGAGAGAGTCATACTGTCAGCTGTAACCTAAGTGTTAGGAAATTGTTCAATGAAGTGTTTTGTGCCAACTTAGTCTCCCACTAATAATATGTAAGAGTTCATGTTGTCCCATTTTCTCACCAATGCTTGAAGTTACTGGACTGTTGTCAGTCTGGTAGGTTTGAAATAATGTCTTTTTGTTTTATTTGAATTTCTCTGATGGCTGTTGATGTTGGTGACATTTTTCTATTTTTATTGACCACTTAGATGTCCCCTATTCTGTATTACCTGCTTATATCCTTAACCATATTTTCTATTGTGGTGTTGGCCTTTTCCTTTTAATTTGAGCTGCTCTTTATTCTGGATACAAATCTCTTAATTATATAATAATGCTTCTCCCTGCCCACACTTCATATTTTTACTTTATAATTTTTGTCATATAAAGTTTATCTTAATTCTGTGTTAACCATCTTCATCGTGGTTTGTATTTTTGCCTTAAGGTCTCAGTATCATAAAGTTATATCACCTTGTTTCCAGAAAATATTGGTTTTGTTTTTCACTTTTTTTTAAAGATTTATTTATGCATACAAGAGCAGGGGTGCAGGCCAGAGATGGGGGCGGGGTGAGAGGATTCACCAGAGACAGTCGGGGGCAGAACAGGCAGATCTACTGAAATACAATGCTGAGGGGAGCAGCGGGGAGTCAGGAGAGGTCTGCTGTGCTATGTGGGTCGCCTCCCTGATGGTGAATGAAAGTGTGCTGCAGTGGTTGCAGATTGCTTCATAGTGCTGCATTTTAACCCCTGTGCCACCAGGGAGCCCCCTTTGTTTTTCACTTTTTGTCTTTAAGCCATTAGGAGTATATTTTTGTGTATCATTTGAAGTAGGGATCAAATTTTTATAAAATTGATATTCATATCAATTGTTCATAATACCCTTTATTTTAAAGTTCATCTTGCAGTTACTGTCATATATCAGATTTCCATATTTGTAGCTCTTTCTGCATGCTCTATACCAGTACCATATCTAGCCTTAACATCCTTCAATTATACATAACTGTATAGTTACATACAGTAAGAATCACTGTCTGGTAGGATAAGCAACAGCACCATTATTTTTCACAGTTGTCTTGGCTATCTTGAGCCGAGATACAATGTTAGGATCAATGTTAGGATCAGCTGGTAATATTCCTAAAAATCTTTGTGGGTTTTCTTTTGAAAGGAACTGCATAGAATTTATAGATCAATTTGGGAGAATTGTCACATGTCTAACATTGAGGCTTTATATTTAAGAACACAGGTATATCTACATTTATGTTTTTATGTCCAATACGTTTTATAGTTTTCTACATAAAGATTTAGATATACGTCAGTGTATTGTAGTCTTTGTACTAATATTTAAGGTATGCTCTAAGTTCTTTATTGCTGATGTATCACACTTGGACTGATTTTTCTCTTGTTTTTCTATAAGGCAACCTTTGTAAACCTTTTATTAACATAAACAATTAGTAGATGCCCCTAATTTTGTGTGAATAATTATATCTTCTGCAATTAGTTTTGTTTCTTCATATTATAGTTAATGTGGTGGTTATTATTGAAATCTATGAAAATTAGAAAATACTGGAAAATGCAATAGCTGCAATTTTGTTTTGGTGTAGCACCTTAACCACAAATTTGCACCATATTGTATCTTGGTCATTCTAGTAACATAAAATTTGATATAAATGTTGAATATCAACCATTCTTACATTGTGGAAGAAATAAATGGAAAATACTTTTCAGTTAATCAAATTAAGTTTTTATATATATATGTATATAACATTTGACAATCTATGAAGCTCACATCAAGATAATCAACCTGGGGCCTCCCCCGTGGCGCAGCGGTTGAGCGCTCGGTTGCGAAGCTGCCCGCAACCTCTGCGGTGACGGTTCGATCCCCGGCTGCTCCCCGGCCACCAGGGGAGGGTCCCACATGGCGCGCAGACCTCTCCTGCCGCCCGCTGCTCCCCTCAGCAGTGTACTTCGGTCCTTCTGCCTGCTCTGCTCCCCGCTCTGGCTCTGGTGAATTCTCTCACCCTCCGGCGCTTCTGACTGTACCCAGTGCATGTATAAACAAAACAAACAAACTAAATAAAAATAAATAAATAAATAAAGCATGCCTCTAAAAAAAAAAAAAAAAAAAAGATAATCAACCTGTATCAATTGTGCACCCACAAAACAAAATTTATCTACTGCCCATTGGTAATCTATCTCACCAGTTCATTGAACTTACTGCACAGCAACCATTTATCTCTGTTGGTTTGTGTTTTCTACAGTTGTCTGTAAATGGGTTTATACAGCGAGTAATCCTTTTGTTGAAATTTTTTTACTCAGCATGATTATCTCGAGATCCATGTTACATGTATCTACAGCTCATTCCTTGTTAACAACTGTTATTGTATGGATATGCCACATTTGGCCTATACATTCACCTGCTTGTAGATATTTGGCCACTTTCCAGTTTGGGTATAATTAAAATTGCTATGAATTAGCAGGAATCTAGAAAACTTAAATAAGGGACTAGGAAAATGAATAACTATAAGAAAGTGAAAATCAAAATCAACAAAAAACTATGAACCAGAGACACTGTGGGGGGTAGAGGGCAGGAGGGGAGGGATTGGGGTCAAAATAAGGGGGTTGCAATTGTATGGGGATTATAAAAATAAAATTTATTATAAAAAATATTTTAGATAAAATCAAATTGAATTTTTAAAAAATTGCTATGAATATTCATATAAAAGTTTTGTATAAAAATATGCTTAGCTTGGATAAATACTGAAATTGCTTAACTTTTTAAGAAACTGCTGTATTTTTAAAAAATTTTTTAATTTTATTTTTATATTCCCCATACAATTTCAACCCCCTTATTTTGACCCCAAACCCTCCTTTCCCCGCGCCCCCCCAATAGTGTGTCTCTAGTTCATGAAACCGCTGTAATGTTTGTGCCATTTTAAATTCCCACCAGCAGTTTGAGAGTTCAGGTAATTTCTTATTTTCATCAAGCTTGGTATGGCCAGTCCTTTTACTTTCAGCCCTTCTGATAGTGTGCATCTCATGGTTCTGATGTACATTTCGGAAATGACTAAGGCAGGGCATCTTTTCATGTGCTTGTTTAACATTTGTGTATCTTTGGTGAAGTATATTTAAATTTAAAACTGACCACTTTAATTGGGTTTTTCTTAACAGGTTTTGAGAGTTCTTTAGATATTCTAGTCATGTTTATTCTCAGGCATTCAAAACAAGTTTTAAATTTTGATTATGTCAAATTTATGTTTTCCTCATGGATTGTGCTATTGATGTTATATCTATGAAATCTTTGTATAACCCAAGGTCATAATTTTTTTTGCTAGAAATTTTAGTTTTAGGCTTTATATTCTGGATTACCGTCCATTTGAGTTGATTTTTGTATGTGATGGAAGGTATTAACAATCCTCTCTTTTGGGGGCATATGGATATCCAGTTCTAGCACCATTTGTTAAAAAATTTTCCTTTCTCCACTGAATTGACATTTTACTTTAGTGAAAAAATAAGTTTCCCATATATCTGTGGGTCAGTTTTCCACTGCATTCTTTTCCAGTGACCTATTTGTCTTGATGCTGATACTACACTCTTGATTATTGCAGCATTACAATGAGTCTTGAAATAAGTTTTATAAAACACTAAAAAGTGTTAGTCCTCCAACTTTCTTCTTTTTCAGGTAGTTTTAGCTATTAAATGTCTTCTACATTATCATGAATTTTAGAAATCAACTTTTTGGCTTCTACAAAAAATGCCTACTGGAGGTTTGATTGGAATTGTGTAAGTATTGACATCTTAACATTGAGTCTTCCAACTTGTGAGCATGGTACAGTTCTCCATTTATAAAAGTTTTTAATTGCAACCATGTTTTACGGTTTTCAGTGTACAGGTTCAGTACATGTTTCATCAGATATCCCTAAGTAGGTAATATTTTAATGCCATTATAATCAATATTTTAATTTTAATTTCTAATTATACATTGATAGTATGTAGAAATACAATTTATTTTTATATATTGATCTTATGTTGCAACCTGGCTAAATTCAACTTTTTCTCATAGATAAGAATTCTTCATTTGCTTCCATTCCAAGGTACAGTTTGATTCCCTGTCACAACTTGATGTTTAGATACCCATCATACTCCATTTAGCCACCATCATAATTCTAGGAGATTGGGGTCTCCCTGGTGGCACAAGAGATTAAGTCTCACCACTCTGAAACAAGCTGCAGCCACCGCAGCATGAGTTCGATCCCCAACCAGGCAGGTGACCCACATGGTGCAGCAGACCTCTCCTGTCTCGCCTCGCGGCCCCCCTCAGCAGTGTGTTTCAGTCAGTCTGCCTGTTCTGCGCCCCACTCTGTGTCTGGTGAGTCCTCTCACCCCTGGCACTTCTGGCCTGCACCCCAGCTCTTGAATGCATAAATAAATATTTTAAAAAATCCATCACTTTAGAGCTAGTGAAAATGCAGAATTTCAGGCCCCATTCCAGACTTACTGAGCCAGATCTACGTTTAATGAGTCCCTCTGGTGACTTATATACATATTAAAGTAGCATTGCTTCTTGCTGATAAAAAATACTTTACTTTGGAGAGACCTTAAAACTTAGCTTTATAATCTATAGAAAGGAATCTCAAGGACCTCCCTGGTGGCGCAAGTGCGTTGAGCGCCACACTGTGAG